GGGAACGGAAAAAAAAAAAAAAAAAAAAAAAAAAAAAAAAAAAAAAAGAATGTTGAGTATGAGATTCCCTTTTCTCCCCTTAGTTTATATTCCCACCTCCCCAGGATACTCCAGCTTTGAGTTTTCTTCTCACTTGTCTTACTCATGCTTCCTAAGTTTGCAGACATTTTGTTCCTTTTATAGTTGAGCTCTGAGGATGACGAGGAAGTTGAAGCAGAGGATGAGGCTTCAGGAAAGAAATCTGTAAAAGGAGTACCTAAGAAATATGTTCCACCACGCTTGGTTCCAGTACATTATGGTATGAATTGTGGCCTCTGCCTTCTCATCATGAATTGTATTTCTCTTCTCCTTTTCTCTGTTCTGGGATAACGCTTGCTGATTTTTATCACATAGATGAAACAGAAGCTGAGCGGGAGAAGAAGCGTCTGGAACAAGCCAAGAGACGGGCATTGAGTAGCTCTGTCATTCGTGAACTTAAGGAGCAGTACTCAGATGCTCCAGAGGAAATCCATGATGCTCGGCATCCGCATGTCACTCGCCAGAGCCAGGAGGACCAGCACAGGTCTGAGACCTTGCAATTAAGAATTATTTCTACACTATGGGGAAATGTCCCTGTGCTTTGGATGAATGTGATTAAGTCAGGTATCAAGAGAACCAACATTATGTAGAAAGTGGAGTGAAAAACTTAGGATGATAGTTTCTAAGAATTAGGAGTTTGAAGTACAGAATAGGAACTAGAAAAAATGTTGTTTTGTGTTTTTCTCCAGCTGTTTAGACTGAAGCAAATGGTATATGAAGAGGAATATGTACAGTTCCGCATAGTAGGGCTTTAAAATTCTGTATTTCACTGTCACAGCTCTCACTTTTGTGCAGAAAGCAATAAAGACAGGTTTTTATAACGGAATTGAGACTGCTAGATAAGCTTGGGGAAGAAAAGTAGAAAAGCAAATGTAACTTTGAATACAGACTTACCAACTTTGCTCAGATGTGATTACTATGGTTGGTGGAATTGCCATGAAAGGGCCCATTTAGGGAATCCTGCTTATAGAGCAGAAATGTAAGAATTTTCTGTTATAATACTTTAAATAGTCCTGTGGATGGATCATGGGTTCATCTGTCTCTAGGGATGAGGGAAGTTGTAGCACAAAGAACATTTTATTGAGGAAGCTCAGTACTGAGCCTTCAGTATATTCTTACTAAATGTTGTATTGATCTATTATGAAATTTCTTGAGAACTCTCTGAACAAGGGATCAGTGAATACTCAGGCCCAGGTTCTGGGCTGCAGCTTTCCGTCTCTATGGTGTGAGCCTGCTGAAAACAGTGCCTGTCTTTCTCTGGCAGGATTAACTATGAGGAGAGCATGATGGTGCGTTTAAGTGTCAGTAAGAGGGAGAAAGGACGGCGAAAACGAGCAAATCTCATGAGCTCACAACTTCATTCCCTCACGCACTTCAGTGACATCAGTGCTTTGACAGGAGGAACTGCTCATCTTGAAGAGGTGAGGTTGAGATGAGCAGTGATAGGAGGTGACCTTCATGCTTTCAGCCAAATGTATATGGGGCTTATTAGAACTTGGGAAGGCATGCTGGCATGCAGAAGTTCACTGCCATTCCGTCACTTCTCCATCTGTCTCCAGGATCAGAATCCTATTAAAAAGCGGAAGAAGATACCTAAGAAAGGCCGGAAGAAAAAAGGTCAGTAAACCGCTAGGACGTAGGTGATCAAGTGCAAAGTGGGGAGTACAAATTAAGATGCCAGCTCTCAGGATTTGCCATCCTGGGTCTCACCAGCCCCTATAGTATCTTCCATACTGCACATTAATCTCTTTAGGTGGGCTTTTATGTTTCCTTTTTCCTAAGCTGGAAATCGGCATCATGCACAGAAGGGATCTCCAGATTCCATCTCTAAGGCCCCACAACTCCTGTTCAGGCTTCCTTTAATAGAACTATGAAAGTTTCACTTGAAGGAACCATTATCCCATTTCAATTTTATTTCTATTTCTAGTCTTTTGTGCTGGGAAAACAGAGTATTGCCTAGGAGACCTACCCCTGTTGGGCCCTTCTCTTTAGGTATCCTTTTTTTTCCAGTCTCTTAAGCTTTTCCAACTGTCCTTTGCCTCATTCTTGGTTTCCCTTCTTTCCAGGTTTTCGGAGGCGGCGGTGATTATGGGTGTACATGTTTATATATTTTTTGTCGTCCTAGGAACTGTATGTAGATTTTTTTCCCTTGGAATTATTGTTTGCTTTGGACATGTGAAAAGATCTTTATTAATAAAATTGTTTGCACTTATGAATTAAAGCCCCCTTGGCACATGTATTATATGACTGGAATTGCTGGATGTGGGGTGTTTTTGGTGAGTGGGTGGTGAAAAGGGAAATATGAAATTTTTTGAAGTATGAGAAGTTTGGCTTTATATAGTTTTCTTTGATATATTTTTCCCAGAAACTAGAAATTGGTTATTTTTCAAAAAGAAGTCTAGAGATTAGAATAGTAAAATGAACTCTTCCAACCCATGTTGCCCCACCTTCCTGTATAATTTGTTATAATACAATGCAGATATCTGAAATATATGGATTTTAGATTTTATTACTGTATCTGACCTGGCCACTAGGTGGCATTAGTGGTTCAGGGAACATTTGGTGCTTGCCTATAATCAAAAGCAAGATGCAACCTTTCCACATCAGCAAGAGTTAGTCTTGTCTCCACTTCTCTGAATGTTTTTCTTTTCTTTCTAAAATAGCATGAACATAGAGCTGATTTTTGATCAGTTATTGAGGGAGTTTGTAAGAAATAGTAGAGTGAATGAGAAGACTAGAATGAAGAGTCAGTATAATGTGTTTTTCAGTCTCTTTGATCCTCCTTCAAACAAGGTCTCAGTTTACCAGAGTCAGTACAGGCTAGCCGTTTTACAAAGAGCTTGCAAAAGAATGTCAGTGAGCAGGCAGACAGAAAATTCCTAGTTTGACAGCAGAAGAATGAAAATCCCACAGAAATATCATCCATACCCAAGTCAGGAGGCTGGTGGGAGTTACACATCTGAGATCTTGTGTTGTATCTGGAGAATAACCTCTGTTGGTGAAAATCCTATGGGCCTTGGATAATACAGAAAGTGAAAAGCAGGATAAAAAGAATTTGAGTCTGCAGAATTATTTCACTGGAGTTTTTTTTTTTAAAGGCTTTGGTCTCACAAATATCTGATTTTAGTGTCTGGCATTCCTATGCAGTGTCATGGATAGGACTATAATTTCGGTCATTACATCCCTTAAAACCTTGTTGGTTCTAAATCCTATGAATTTGGATTTATACTGGTCTGCCTGATTGGGGTGACAGTCTTTTTTTAGTTGAGCTGAAGCCTGGTAGAAAGTAGTTAGGAGACAGCCTGTGGCTGTCTTCTGCTGACTGTGCGATCTTGGGCAAATCACTTAACATCTCTGACTTTTAATTTTCCTCAGCTGAAAAATGAATGTATTAGACTGAATCTTTGAGATTTTCTCCAAATCAAAGAACCTAGAGCTTTTGTGGATGACGCCAAGATAGGCTTACTTCTAGAGACTCTAACTCTTAGTCCCTGGCAGATCTGAGGGAGCATGACATGCTCCGGGCCCTCATACTTCTGTTTCTTCAAGTAAATCTAAACAAAGAGTCACAGAACATGTTTAGAGATTCTTTTCCCTTTTTGGCTGGACTAACTGCACAAGTGGTTCAGCTCAAAAATGTTTTAGTTAGGACTATCACATTTGCTTCTTAGGACCACTGCATTTGTTTCTAATTTATTAAGTTTTTGGATTATGGGAACTGCCAGGGGAAGGAAAGTGCCTGTTTTTTCTCTTTAAAGATCTTACCTTGTGTTACTTACTGAGCTAAATGCTTTATGCTTAATCCTGACAACATACATGACATTTCCATTTTGCTAGTGAGGAAACTGAGACACATAGGTTAAGCAATTTGTATTTGTCCAAGGTCACACTTCTAATAAGTTGGAGAACCAGTGCTTGGGAAACACAGAGGATGGAAGACTTCGAGTCCTGTGATTCTTGAAAGTCTTCAGGGGTTTTTTTTCTTTTAAAAAATATTTGTAGGTATTTCCTTTAGCTCTAGCTTCCCCTTTCATACTGCCCCATTTCTGTTTGAGGCCTTGCCTCCAAAGAAACCATAAGTTCAAGACACTATTCTGGCCTCTTGGTGGTATTGCAGTATGGTATGGAGTAGACAAAAATCTCTGCCTTCGTTGAGTCTTATATTAATTTAATCAAGTCTTTAATCCTGGGACATCTTGTGTTCCCTGGCCTGTAGGCATTTGAAAGAGGTTTCTAACAAAAAGTTGAATTATTTTTGAGAACTTTTGTACCACAGTCATCAAACAATGTTTATAGAGTACATTGTTTTTTTACATGGACAGAATTTTATGTGGCTTCTCAATATGTCAAACAGGCATAAGTTGGGTTACTTTGATTAAACTGGGGATAAAGGGTCCTGGAGTTCCATTTCGTTATGACCCCCCTTTCCTCAAGATTCCTGAGGATCTCCAAGGAACCTTTTGAACTCCATAGAATATAATTTGAGAACCACTGCTGCATAAGTAGACCAAGGGAACTGAGATTAGAATTTCAGGGTTTCGTTATGGCTCTTCTGTTCACTTTTCTTCTTCCCCTTATTCCTACTCATAGATTCAGTTCTCTGATCATTCAGACCACCTGAATGTCAGATTTCCTCAGTGTAGTGCTGACAGTGGATCATTTGTGGTGTTCACTAAGTTATGTTTGTCATTACTTGAGCAGCTGTTCAGTTTTATCATGTTATTACAAGGGAGTCCTGATTTTATTCTGTACAAGTAATTTAGCCTCTCTGCCATGGTGTTTTCATCTTAGGGGATGGAGAAGAGAGTTTGACCAAACCCTGTTTTGCCTCAAAGGTTTTGTTTTGCTAGGGTTTTTTTGTTTGTTTGTTTTGTTTTGTTTTGGCGGCTGGCTAGTAGGGGATCTGAACTCTTGACCTTGGTATTATAATACCCCGTTCTAACCATTGGAGCTTGTTTTGTTAGGGTTTTATGGAGGCTTGGGGAAATGTCTGTCAGGAGTTCACAACAGTCTGGATACCTTGTTAGAAAAATAAGTTTTGTTTATGAGGAAGGGATGGCCTGATTATATCAGTTTTCAGCACCACGGAGAGTTCAAGATCTTCTCTCATTCCTTGCCTTGGGTTGGTAGAAGGTATATGGCTAAACCAATTCATAGAGTTGCATGATATAGACCTGCCCTTTTTTCAGAGCGCAGTTTATTGGTTTGTTCTCACCTAGTCTCCAGTTCTGATCGGTACAGATTGGGTGAGAGTCCTGAGTGTCTCCCATCCTCCTTGACATCTATAAGGTCTTTAAACCCCAGATTCATGCTAAGGATGAATCTTGGTGGAGGCATATGAGTGAAATCCTGCCTTCTGCTGTTATGGGTAACCAAATTCGTATTGTGATGCACAAGATTTTTACCAGCCCTTGAGAAAAACTCTGTCCTCTACTCTTTGCTTATAGACCCTTGAGGAGACTTAAAGTTGGTTTTTCATTCCTTGGGACTCTTTTTCTGCCTCTGCGTGGAGAAAGGCATCATAGCCCTGGCCCTCTTCGCAGTCTTGCTTTTGTGTTTCTTTGATCTCATTGTTCAGAGGGTCTCAGAGAAGCCCCAAGAGCCATGCCTTTGCATGTTTAAGCTATTGGTGCTTTTGAAATAACAGAGTGTTGCTGTATAAGAAGTGTATTAAAGGCCTATCTTTGAACAAATTTGGGTCAATAGGTGGCAGTAGTCATTGAGTCCTGAGGCCCTGACACCCTCTAAACACTAACACATTTGATGGCCATTATATTTAAGGTTGTGAGAAAGGAGGTCACGTTGAGAAAAAATGGGGAGAAAAATCCTTTTTGGCGGAATCCAGGAAATACTGAAATGTGCTGGATTACTTCTGTGGGAGTATTGTATGGGGGGAGATTGCTGTTAGCTAGTGAAGGACACTGTAGGAAAGAGTGGGACCTCAGGATTGGAGTGGATCAAAGACGTGGGTACTAGGGCTTCTTTGAGCTAGAGTAAGGCTGTGTTAAATGAGGACCAGTGCTAAAAGGATCCAGTAGGGCTGGGGGGAGTAAAGAGAGAGAGAGATGTGGGGGAGGGAGGAGCAGAGCTGTGTGAAGGGACCATGGAAAGGGTGGGCTGTGAAGGAGAGGACTGCGGTTAGAGGGGGAGGGGTAGGCTGCTGCAATACTGAGCCTATCTAATAGGAGAGGGAGGGGGAGATATTGGTCTGTGCTGCTGCTGCTGCTGCTGCATTGACTCCCCTCCCCCACACTTCCCAAGGAGCCAGAGCAGTGCTGGCAAATCTGTCTTCATGTATTTATTATTATTAAAAATGTGATGGATCCTTCCTCCCTGGAAGCACAACAAACACTTCTGATCACATTTCCCTCTCCCTTCCCTCTGCAGAGCTTTTGCATTCTCTCTTTCCTTCTCTCCACCCTGTTCTCTCCACTTCCTTGGTCTGTTTGACTGGTGGGGGGACTCTTCCCTTCCTTTCCTTATTGGAGCTTGGTGGCTCCCTGGGGGTTTCTAATGGTGGTTGGGAGTTTTGAGGCAATGCTGGGAGGAAGCTGCTGAGTGAGGGGCATCCACTGCCCCGGGGAGGGAGCTGCACTCTCCAATATCCAGTGGGGAAAGGAAATAACTTGGAAATAAAGATAAAATCCTTTCTCTAGCTAATGAAAGAAGAAGCAGGTGCTAACATTCCTTTCAGTACCTGGCTTTCATCCCTTTTCATACCCTTCCCTTTTCTACTGCCTGAACTCTGAGGGGGTAACCCCCTTGGAATGGAAAAAGCCAGGAGTTTTCTGTCCTCCCTCCCTTACTTTGTTAAGTCCTTCTCTTCCCAGGAGAGCATATGCAATTTATTCTTCTAGCCTGTGTGTTGTGTTACTGGGGGTTTTGAAGGGCAGAAGCCATGGCTTCACCCTCCCCACCTGCACCCTAGACTCCCATGCCCAGGCGGGCATCTCTTTTGTTGCTGTCTGCAACCCTTTGCTATACCGATAGGTGGTGCTGCTGTTGCTCTGCAAGCAAAGCCCTCCTCCCCAACATTATTCCTCCCCACCCTGTCACCCTCCCCCTTTCCCCAGCCCTCTACTGACTGATTGTTATTCCACCAACGTCTCCTCTACTGTTCCCTTCCTCAAATTAATTTTGTGGCGCTCTTTTTTCCGCAGTGCCATCTTCTTCCCCTCCCCCCTGCTCCAGCTCTCTTGCTTTCTCTGTCTCTGTTTCTCTCTGTC